GGGTAGGTGACGGATCCGAGGAACATAGCAAGCGGACGACTTTTCTGCGACCGGCAACAAGGCGGAGAGGTGAGGGGAAGAAAGCCGGTGCGAGAAAGGAATGGGGCTAGGGTATTAGAAAGATAAGATAAACGCCACCTCCGGAATAAGATACAACCCGAGCACCACTCAGAACCCTTGAATACAACCATAAAGGAAAAAGGGAGATGCCGACGGATGTCCCAAAACAAATACAACAAAAAAATAACTCTAAAACATCACAAAAGTAAATATATAATACTAAAATAACTAAGCGGCAGTCCCTAGACCAAACTAGTCGAGGGTTCCCCCTGGCACCCTGCGTTACTTTCTCTAAGTAAGAATGTCCTCTCTTAGACACGAATATTTAAATATGACAAAAACAGAAACGGTTAGCGCGCATGAACCACATCACGCAAATGTAAGAGGGGTGAGTATCTTGAAGTTGGTGGGAAAAAAAGAGCACACAAACCTCGCCATATCCTACAATGTTGTCATCCAATGATATCGCTAGAACAAAGCCTTCATGATAGAAATCTTTCCCGTAATGTTTGATCTGAGTTGTCGTTGGAGCAGAAAGTTGAATTCTGGATCAAAAGAACGGATATAAAAAAGAAATTTTGAACCAAACTAAAAACTTTCTGCCCAGATTTTCGCATGAATTTTAAAACGGTTTATTCAAGAAAAGCCAACAATGAACTTGCCTATATAGTGAGTACTCCACTTTCCAGATTTTACAAATAAACAGGCTATCAGAGAGATATTGAGTTATTGGGGCAACAGAAAGGGCTCTAAATGCTTGATCAACGGCTTGACCACAGAACTTCCTTAAGACGCTGAAAAAATGAACATTTTTCAGAGAAAATTCCGGGGAAAAGCTCTGAGTGGAGAATAAGTAAAGCAAAAACCTGTGAAACTTCGCATTATCTGTAATGGAACTGTCAACTTCAATTACACAATCATCATAATCTTGCTGCGATTCCTGTAAAGCATGCTGCAGTTCCATTTTTGTCTGCACCAGCAAATGCTTCACTCTGCAAATTCATTTTCAGCTCCTTATAAACCCAGAAAATTCCCTTGAGCATAAAAATTTATGCTTTGAGCATCCCTCTTAAAAGTTCAAAACTTGTAACTACATTAGATTCAGTATCTTCGAAACCCTTGCATACCTGAACCCGTATCATAAAAGCTATGCAGCTTAAGATTAAAGCATTTCAGGAACTTTAGTATTCATGCCAATTTTAAGAGAAAATCATGTGCAACAAAATTTCACAGGAACCCATAATTCAATGCTAAGTGATCTGTGAGCTCAAAATTTAATTCACAATGAAAAAGATAGCTGAAAACACGCACCATAAGAATGCAGATATGCAGACCTTATTATGGTAAATTTTTGCAGGGCATTATATCAGATTATTCGAGCACATACAAAGCTCAAGATAAATCTTAATGCTTTTCATAATTGAAAACAAATACCATTTATTCACTAATTCATGAATGCGTAGGATTTTTAATAAAAATGAAAAAGTACCCCAGAAAAAAATAACGGAACTGGATCCTTTCTATATGGTCTGTTTGGTAGACTTTCAAAGACATTGAAATGAATTGAGACAGTAAAATAAATTGGGATACGATAAAAAAAGCACGAGCAATATAGATTGCCAAAAACAAATAGAAAGGGAAAAATTAAAACTGGAAGTAAAAAATTACATGATTAATTTACTGTACCTATGAGCACCACACAGCTTTCCAATTGAGATATCATGTGACATGTAGAAGTATTGGTTTAGCACATTTTGCTGTGTCTTATCAGCGATAGGTAGAAAACTGAAGATTGCACCACCGTGATTGTTTATGACAATTATTGTCATTGGTTTTCTCATTGTCCTTCAAAAAAAAAAAAAAAAAAGAAGCTTTGGTTGGCTTAACTAACAAGTTAAACATGATAATGGAAAGGATGGCACATATGTTTTATCAATTTAATTTAATTTTGTATGCTTGAACTAATGCGAAAGAAAGCCTTATGTATGCAAGGATAGGTAACTATTCACTGCAACAATTGGGACATTGATGCTTGAGAATTAAGCTTATATAACCCATCTTCTTAGAGTAGTAGATAACACAGGGCCAAAAGAAAATATAAAGGAGCTTTCTTATCCTTGATGATTACCTACTTAGTTAGAAGAGTAATAATATCAGGCTAAAAGACGGATTGAAAACAGTATAGCCATTAAAGGTTACAAAAGATAAAGGAATGAAAGCAGTGAACTCCTGGTAGGAATGATGTAAAAAGTGACTTTCAATACCAAAGTGATGCAAATGACTATCACACGGTACTCATCGGAATTAAACACTAAATTAAACAAAAGAAAAAAAAACTGCATATAAAGATATTTGTACAGCATAACAATTTTTAACAATTTTATATTTGTAATAAAAATAAAAATGGATAAAAAGGCAACCAGTTAGCTTACCATGAATAATGAATTTCTTGAGACATAAAAATATTTTTAAGAAAATGACTAAGCAGAAAAACATGCACAACAAACATTAAATACCATAGTGCAGCATAAAATTTCAAAGATAAATGTTATTGAAAATGCTCAAAAGACTCAAACTGCAGGGATGCCTTTGTGAAAATTTTTTTAAGTCTGGAACCAAAATTATCCTATTAAATCTTTGATACTAGAGTTAACCCAACCCAAAATAGGAACGAAAATACTATTGCTGAAATAAAAAAAAGTTACAACAAATATTCTTCAAAAAGGAAAATAAATGACTCAAACACCCAAATGGCCCTCTTGGGGAACGATGGATGGGGGCTTGCAGCAACAACACGGGGCTGATATTGGGGTGGTTGTCAGCAGTGGAAGGGTTGGGGTTGAGTATAGTGAAAAAATAGGGGTGCAGGTGGGGTGGTAAAGACAGAAGAAGTTATGGGAGGGTGAGTAAGGTGAGGCATGAGTGCAGGTGCGGCTTTGAGGACAACAACAGTTACGGCGGAAAGTGGTTTACAACAGCAATGATAGTAAGTGTAGGGGTTACAATATCAATTGTGGGATGATTGGGGTGGCTTAGCCGGTATGGCTGAAGTGCTGGAGTGTCACAACGCAACTAACCCCTCTAATAGGGTCAATTGTAGTGCGACAGAGGCTGGAAATTTGATCAGACCAACTCTCACCAACACTCGTCCTGATTGGTATAATCATGACTCAGTGGATTAATTAATAATACTTAGAGATCCTCTCAACAGATTGCAGAAATTCGATGAAATCATCTGAAACGATACCTCCATCAAACTCTAATAGATCAACATTTATTTCAAAGTCTCTGTGTCCTCAATATGTGAGCTCCTCTCTTGGTTTCTCTGATACTGGAATTCAAAGAATCATGATTTTTCTTCCTCATCACTGAAATCCTCTCTATAGAAAGGATAGAAATTCTCGTATTTTTCACCCATTCAACCTTCCTTGTCACGATCGAAAGTAATTTCCCCATGGGATTCATCTTTAAGGTCTGTAAATCTCTGCTAAGGTCGGCAGATCTCTCGTTGTATCCCTTTTCGGGTGGTCTCAAACATGAATCTCCTGGTGGCATGACTAGGGCTTAGAGTTGGAGGGGGGG